GAACTGCTCGACCGTTCATCTGGTCGAAGAATAGATTGGTCGACTGCTTGGCTGGTCGACTGGTTGATTGGTCGATTCCGGCTTGGCTTCCTCGCAGTATGGCCTCTTCGACCGGTCAACAGACCGGTTTAGCCTTGTGGGTATAATATCCTATATCATCTAGTCCTCCGACTCTGGTCGAGTCTGAATGACTCGATCTAAGAGTGAATTCGTGCTCGTCGCTTTCCTGGATGGCCTGATGTCAGATATCGACCACCTAGTGAGTTTCCCGTTCATTTTTCCAATTAAATCTTCTTTGATTGCCAGCAATAAAGTTGTCTGTCACACGTCCTTTCTGTCGCGGCTGCTTTTCTGCCACGCGTCACACATGTCAGTCATTTTAATTATTGCACCTCCTCGCATAACGCGCCCGCTTTGAGCGCCGTGCGAATTAATGCTCTCCACCGTAAGATCTAGCTTTAATCCAACGACTCTCCTCTTTCAACCCTTCAACTCTCCAAAGTATAAATTCAACACTTAGCGAATTTTCTGAGTTTTTCCACCTTTGCAAATTTTGAACTCCTTTGTATTAAAAAATGCTCTCCGCAAAACCCTAGCTTTCTCTGCGGCGATTCCTCTCGTGCTTTCGAGGCTTCTTCAATTCGCTCACCCACGATTATGAGTAAGTCGTTCTTCTCTTGAATTTACATTCTCTGTATTTTAGATTTATGTGTTCTTGGTTTTTTGGTGCTGGGTATCCCAAGTTTGTCTGTTGAACTTCCCCCCCTCCCCTTTTTCAATTTGCGTGTTTCATTCTGAACCTGTGCTCTGAATGCTTTGCTTTGTTTGTTGAACGTTGTGAATTTTGTTTTTCTCTTGAAAATTTTTTGAAATTCCCACTTTTCTTTCCCTGGTTTTTGGAATTGCTTCCTCCAGAAACTCTAGCCTTCATTCTCCCCATTTTTTTTTTCAAAAGCCCCTTTTTGATGTTGTTCTTTTGCTCTTATTTTTTCAGACTCTACAACCTCCAGTGAGAACGACCATCATTCTGGTGCTGATTTGAGTTCTCCGTCCTCTCCGACCATCGTTTCCTCCGACTCAGTTCAAGAAGTTCCTTTTGTCCCTGACGCTGTTCCTATCTCCATCCTTCGACTTGGTGATACTATCCCTACTCGTGTCTTCACCGCCCGCGTTTCTCCTCTTAACTCCGGAGATACCATGGATAACATTCCCCTTCGCCATCGTCGACCTGCCTTTGGCTCATTAGATGAGCCAGAGGAGGACGAGGTCATCTCTTCTCAGCCTACCTTCCCTACATCCTCGACCATTCCTCCTTCCTTTTCTCAACCTGGTACTTCGAATTCTCCTCCCGAAAAGCCCTCGACCAAGAACCTTTCTAAGGCCTCCACAAAGCGTCCATCTTCTACTTCCTTCTCTAGTATCTGGCTAGATCCCGAGAAAATCGGCCAACCTTGTGGCTGGGCATTCTATGTCCCTTCTTCCTCCGATAAATATGATCATCCCCCAAGCAACTGCTATACCTTCTTCGAAATCCAATTCAAGCTTGGACTTCGCTTCCCTTCAAGTCCTGAGCTGCTCCAAATTTGTGGGTGGTTTGGGCTTCCTCTACACCAACTTCCTCCTAATGCCATCCGTTTTATGACCACCTTCATAATCCTCTGCCATATCCGCCTGGGTCGCTTCGACCTCGCCTTCTTCCACTACTGCTATGCCCCTTCCAAACAAGGTTGAGGCCTCTACTTAAAAAGCCGAAACGGCGTCCATTTCATCAACGATATTCCTACCAACATTCCTAAGTCGATTGATAGCTTTATTTTTGTCGAGCCCAGCGCCCCTTTTCCTTGGCCCTCTATCCCTTGGGTCACGGAACTTCCCCAAGAGAATTCTACCCCTCCTCCTCCTCCTAACGCTCTTTTCGACCAACGGGTTCACTCTTGGAATTCCAAGCCCGTTAAGTCAGAAAAGCTCCTCAAGGATGAGAGCCTCCTCCATTATTGCGGCCTCACCCACAAAACCTGCCCTCCACCCACCAAAAAGATCCTTGATCTTATTCGGATTAAGGATGATCCAGGTGATCTTCGACCGGCTTGCTCGAGCGGTCTCTTTCCTGTTTAAATTAAGGTGAGTTTCATTGATATCGACCATAATTTCCTGTTATCTTTTTGCGGAGGCTCTCAGTTTTAACATTCTTCTGAGGAGAGCTCCCTTGAAGAGGAAAACTGGGGCCACTTCCGGCTCGGCTGGGGATAAAGTTGAGGGGTTGGCCACCTCCTTTGATTCTCGACCAGAGCCACCACAACGATCCCCGCCACGACAGACTCTGCTGCCTCCGCCACTGCCCCAAAAGCAACCACAACAGAAACACCAACAACAACAGCAACAACAGCACCAACAAAAACAACCATCTCATCCACAGCACCAACAAAAGCAACCACAAATATCTACCTCCTCCTCGACCACCAAAACCTCGATCTCCTCCCAAAACGATGACCGCCAACAACAAGTCGTTGACCGCCAACATAAGCCCGACGATCGCCAACAAAAAACCTATGACTGCCAACACAGAACTGACGACCGCCAACCAAAAACCGCTGACCGCCAAGACAAAACCACTGACCGTCAACACAGAACCGACAACCGCCCACCAAAAACTAATCCTCGAGCCACTGATCCTCAAAACACCAATACACCTAAGACCAGCATTTCTGAGCAAACTCTTCCCTCCAATGAGCTTTCTCTGAAAGGGCCACTCGTCGACTCGACCAAGATCGTGGTCGAGTCTAGGCGTGAAGTGGCTCAGGGGAAACGATCATGCTCGGAAAAGTCCGAGACGATCACTAAGCGTCCCCGCCTGAGCCATACCACCGACACCCTGGCCACAAAGCCTTCCTCCTTGCTAAAGGCTCCGGTGAA